TGTATAGAACCAGAATATTAATATTAAACATTTAAACAAAACCGCTTTTAAAACTTTGCGGCCTGTATAAATTTTTTTTACTGCCTTTGGTTCTATAGAGCTAGCAATACAATGATTTGGTTTATCAAAATGTTCGTAAGGATAACTCCAAGGTTCTACAAAACATAAAATATGTGAAGATAGCAGTAAAAAGTCGCTTTTTATATTATATCATTAATGTCAGCATGAAGACTCTAAACATTATGGAATAAAATTTGATGTCCTGATGTTCGGGAAATCATAAAATTTAAATTTTTTTTCAGAGCTTTATTTGTGTTCAATTCCCTCAGTTCCTTAAATACAGGATCCGATTCAGAAAATTTGTTAGGAGGAATAAAATTTTCTATGATGAATAGATCTTCTGCAGTAGTAGTTCGTCTGCACGCGACATATATTCAAGCTCTAGGCATTCTGGGTCGCGTATGAACTACTACTTTATTATATGTGGCACCATGACTTATATGAATTATTCCTTCAGCCGGAACAACTGGAAACTGATTTCTTTCAATTGAAATTTGTTCATTTCTTTTATATTGAAAAGATTTTGGAACTTTTTCAATTGGTGTTTAGGTACTTTCTAGAGGATGAGGATTTTTTGATCGTGCTATCAAACCAACAGATGGTTCAAAAAAATTTATTCCACAGAGTTGTTGGAAAAGAACAATGGAAATCAATTTGCATAAGTTCTCCAGCTGCCCCATTAACCAAGCCATCATACGTGTTTATATTCACTGTAATCATATATATTTGGCGGAGGTTTTCAGTGTCAATTCATAGGGCAGCCCTGCGTTTCAGAAGTTTTGAAAAGTTTAACTATTTCCAAAATATTCTAATTTTTATTACACCAATTTCTTTAACTGAGTCTTTTGCAGTTAAAAGGATAGATTCAGTTGGGATTCGACTGAGCTTAAGGGCATTGGGAAAATTCGTGGACAGATTTCACACATTTTCGACATTAAACTATTGAATATCTAATATTTTACGTTTCTATAAAGCCATACGGAAGTTTGAATTTTTTACATAAAGTAGGTTGGTTCTAGGGTCAATATATACCCGATAATGGGTAATAGGGCGGAACCGACCATTTTATACTCTGGCAAAACCTTATTTTAAAAAAATATTGAGAAAGAATTCAACATCCATTATTCAATGAAATCGTGATTAAATTACAATAAAATTTGGTATCTTCTTGACTTATATTAAAGGTTATAAACTTAGTCTCAGTTTAATTGCTATATTTTATTTTGCGTCAACGAAAATTATATGAAAAAAAAACAAAAAACATCTTGAAGTGAGATATACATAAGTATGAATGTGATATTAACTCTACCAAAGTGGCTAAATTTTATATTATGAGCTTGTGTGGAAAACGTCAACCAGAGAATCGGAATTCATTATATGAAGGTGAGAGGTTTAGACCAAGGTATATACTAATTTCATTCTAATTCAGCATCAAACCACATAATTTTTAAGAAATCATATCCACTTTATTTCACTAAAATATCACATTTTGATCAACCAGAACGGTTTAAAGTCAGCTGGAAAGACGGAAATCATATATATATTATATAATATATTGGGGATAGAGAAAGATATTAATTTTGACATTGCTCAGCTATACTCGAGAACATATTTTGAAGCAATTTTATATATAAAAAAATATTAATACTCACTGACCGATATATTCGGCGTACAACTGGTTAGAATAACGAAAAGCATTATAAGTTGTATATGGAAGTTGAGGGTAGTATTAAAACGCTTTTATCACTTTTTGCCAATACCAATTGCCAGACTAATAAAATACTCCTTCTGTTTCATTGAGTACCACCACCAATCATATGGAGTAAAGTCAGACGAATGTTCGAAAATCCTGATATTAGTTACAAATTTTTACCCGATTACCCGATCCATTTTAGGCACAAAGATACCTTGTTATGAGTAAAACACGCTCTCTCATTTCCATTGAGATAACTCACATATTGGCCGATATATGCGGTATAAAGTCACCCGGAAGTTCAAAAATCTTTATATTAGGTATATGAGGGCTATCGGAAGTGGAAGTGTATTGATTCGATTGAACCCATTTTTTGACACAAACATACTATTATCGAGAGTTTTATTTATTTATTTTATTATATGAATTTCAATTAAATGTCTTACCCATTGGCCGATATTTTTGGTAAAAAACCAGCTATAGGCACTGGGGTCCACATATTCAGTACCTAGGGGCTTAAACAGTTTTGGTTCGATTTAGACATTTTTTGGTCAAAAGGTGGCATACTTCAAATGCATTATTCACGCAAAGTTTTACAATACAACCGATACAATCATTGTTGCTTGATTTGCATAGTGGAAAGTGAAAAAATCAGGTGAAACTTAAAATGGTGTTATATGGGAAAATAGGCGTGGTTGTAATCCGATTTCGCCCATTTTTGCACTATAACATAGACATATGAGAAGAATATTATGTACCGAATATGGTGGAAACAAGTAAGCAGATACCAAGATATGGCCGGTGCTACGTCCACTGTCTAATTTTGAACGCGGTTCCTACAAAGTCATCTCATACCATCCCAGAGATAAAATTTAATGTCTATGGCGTGTTTAGTGCTTGATTTATTACGCTTTTGGTAGTTTTTAATAGTACCGTTACATGGTCAGTGGGCGGGGTTGTCACCCGATTTCACCTATTTTCACAATGTCGATATAGGTGCTAAAAACATTTGTTCTCTGTGAATTTTGTTCTTATAGCTTTAGCGGCTTAGGAGATATGCACATTAAACCTATTACGGGGCAGGACAACACCCACTTTTAATAAAAATTTTAAACTGCAGATACCCCTACTTAATGTGATCCTGTATACTAAATTGCAGTCTTGTATCATATTGTGGAGCTTAATTATGGAAAATTAATTTGTTTTTGATTAATGGCGTTTTGTGGGCGTGGCAGGTAGTAAATTATTTTCCCACTAACTACTGCAGATAAATCAATGAAATTTTGTGAACCCAAAGAAAAATGTTCGTACATACGTTCTTCGCGCTAAATATGAAATATTTGAAACAAACCAGTAAACGTTCAGCTTTAATAATCTGCAAAAAAAAAGTTTGTTCATTCATGCCATTCCGCAGATTCTGAATTTTTTGTCCCCTATTGCGGTCTTTGATTGCGCGGCACATCGACCGACGCGCTAAGCTTTCGACATCTGTGCCGCAAGAAAAGCATGATACAGGAAAATAATCAATAACTCTATTAATGGGATTAATTGTTAATTACATTATTGTCAATTATTACGTCCATGTAGCAGAATATGCGTTCATACAGAATTAGAATAATGTAACATAATTTACGTTTCTTTGTATTTTTACTTTAACCGCAGATTAAGAGATACGATTTTTTAGTCTATCTTTTATGTGTATATCAATTTAAAAATATCATAAAATATAAGGAACATAACACTTGTTTCACTTTTCTTTACCAGGCACAGATGCAAATCCATTTTCAAGCTTGAGTTTTCGAGCTTTTCTTGCCATTCTTGTACACAAAATCGATCACCTATTGTTTTAGAATCCAATTGAATTTAGTGTTAAGATTTGAAAAAAAAAAACGATTTTTATTCATTGACGTATATGTTAAGTGTATAAAATAACATAATAAAACAATGTATTTGAAATATCATAAGTATACATTGAAAACGTTTTCTTTCAAACATAAAACTATGAAACTTGTTACCAAGTATAAAAGATACTCAAAGAAATAAAAGTTACCATTTACAAAAACCATGCCAGTAATATACACATATTTGTAATAAAAATACACTAAATGTAAATGACTAATGTATACTGGAACTCACAGCAGACTGACTATGGACAGTTACGAGACGTGTTGGATGACGATGAGAATGGATGATGAGAAATCATCTTTTTGCACATTTCAACCTGTCCGCTGCTCAGCTCCGCACGTACTTTGAGTCTCTTTGCGCAGCGTGTTGGTCGATTTGTCGCGCGTGGAGAGAGTGCAAAAGAGGATAAAAAATTCAATATCTGCGGAATGGCATGAATGACCAAACTTTTCTTTGGAGATTATTAGAGCTGAACGTTATCCGCGTTGTTTCACATATTTTCCATTTTTTTTTTGCGTAAAGAACGCATAAAAATTTCAATTGTTTGACAAGAATTGATGTGAAATATAATTATTCAAACAAATTGACCGTGGAAAAATATGTACAACATAGTAGGAACATTTTTATTTGAGTTCACAAAATTTCATCGATTCGGTAGTAGTATTTAAAAGTTTACAAGGACATACTTTTACAATTTTTTGTGCTCTAAATTCAACCATCAATATCAAAAATTAATTTTGACGAATTATTTATATTACGGGATGTGTGTCTGGTTTTTCATCTAATGAAGCGCTAGAAAATCGTTGATTTAGCAAAGTTTTAAGGATCCACTTGACGTGGTTTGACTCTTAGCAATACTTTTTTATCTTCATATAAACAATTTAACAGAAAAACTATTGAAATCATTAGTTCCGACCGGTTGAATATATGCTCATTACATCAGTGAATTGGTGAAATCGCTTTATATCTTCTCAGAACCTTCACTCATCGAATATAAGGACCATTGACTTACAAGTATATATAATATATATTAATAAATATATCAGGCGCCTTGATTGTATAGAAAAATTGGAATTAATAATATAAGTAAAAATCGTAGTTATTTATTTTTCAATTATTTAATTCTCATGTTAATTGTTTTACATCTACATTACATCTGTCGTAACTAAGCTAACATAAAGCCCAAGCAACAACTGATTTGTGGCTCCCTTTACAACGACTTTATTTTATCCACATCGGCATGTTAACTTATGATATAATTTGGTAACGAAAGTGGATTAAATTATTCATAATCTTCTGTGAATTCTTAAATAAATAGAGATAATGATATTACGTTTCTTACCTTTAAATCTCTGTGAACAACACCTTGTTCATGCATATAATCAACAGCTTCTAAAATTTGACGTATAAGATCAGATGCATCTTTTTCGGTATAGGAACCTTTTTCTACAATTCTATCGAATAGTTCACCACCAGTTACTCTGAAATAAAAAAACAAGTTTTTTTTATATTTACACAAAATAGGAATAAATATACATTGAAATTACAACTCAAAAGTCACAATAATATAATATATACATATGTACGATATAATGTACAAACATACATGCACGAAATAGCGTTAACCAATGCTAACTTGTCGTGCAGTTTGTAAGTTTCTCTAAAACCAGAAATATTATATAGTATTAGCTTAAAAGAACAAAAAGAAAGGCAAAAAGTCTTATTATTGAGTGATTTGTTCCTTGTATTTGCCAAATGTGAGAATACTGTTAAACAGATTTCTGAAAACTTTTGAATTCCGCGACGGTAGGTACGTCCACGTCTTTCGTGATCTCCATGCCATGTTCTAACTTCTTAAAGACCTTGTAGGACCCAAGGCATTTTGGTTTCACCTTCAGTCCAGAGCCATACTGGGTACGTTTGATTACACCAGTTCATTTATACTATGTTAACTTCAGCTTTATGACGAGGATTGTTGGTTTTACGATTTTCCTCTTGTAGACGAGCTAGTTATCCTTCGCTTGAAGGCGGCTTTTAACACGTTCAGAATTGATTTCATCTATTACAAAGTTAACCAGAAGCTTTTGATGATTCGACATATCAGCACCCGCATTTCAAATCCAGTTACTAAGATACTCTTAATCGGTGATAAGGCGTATAGTGCTGTTAATAGTCTGTTGTACGCGTCCTACCCACATGCTTTTACCATTCACCGGGACTTTCGTTGCATATTTTCGATATCATGGGTACCACGATTTTGTGTATTCGCTCAAGCTGCCTGTTTCCTCTTGGAACACCCCAGGCAATTGTTAGATGGTGAATATTTTCTTTCTCACAACACTTTTTAAAAAGAGTTAACGTAAATGCTACGCCTCTGTCGGTAATGATGCGCTTCGGATCCGAACACCGATGACTGCTTCTTAAGCCAACTATCGCCTCTGCTCCAGTAGTTTTTGTTAGATAAAGCCCAACAAATTACGAAAATGAGTCGACATCCAGTAAATAATTATAAAATATATTCGACATTTCCATAGGCCCTACGTGATTAATGTGTTACTTACCCATTGGACAGTCCTTCCTTGTTTTTGGATTAATCCAGTTTTTGCCTTTATCAAACATTTCTACTACAAGATGATTTCGCTTTCAATTGTGGAATTTAAAAGGTTTCCTCTTCGACTTCTCGCGTTATCTTGCTGTCATCCTTATCACTTCCACTTCCATAAGCGAGGGTACTACAATCAACTCCTTGGTGGGATCCTTGCGTAATACACCATACTTCATGTAGCAGTCCTCGTATTCGTCCTTTTCCAAAATATTTCGCACAGCTCAGATCCTTCTGTTGAGTTTACATCAATCGGTGTTGCAATGTATTTACAAGTCCACGTCTTGTAGTAATCAAAATATTGCAAATACCATTCCGAGCACGAAACTCTCAAGGCCACGTCAAGTTTCTCCACCGCCATGACTCAGAGCGTATATTGTTAAAACTGTCGCGTTGATTAATGCTGATTTTATTTGCGGAAATGTTGTTAATTGCTCGTAACTTGGTTCAATAAATCACGTAAAGTACGATGCAACTTTTCTAAACGATGAATCCCAGGAATTTAACTTTCTTCACCAGAAACTGACACTTCAAATCTCTGAATATGCCGCAACAGAAACTCTTTTCACCGTTTGTTCTTTAGTTATGAAAACAATTGGTGGTGCGTATTCTGATGTGCTGGGCTTAACAACCATACCATCGCCCAACTTCTTCATTGACCGAAACCCTATCTGCGTAGGCTATTCGGCTTGGCCTCTCGTATACCGGCTCTTCGTCTTTTATCATAATTTTCATCTACTCAGATTTACTGAGATGCCGTAAATCGATATGTGTGGATATGTTTATTAAACGTATCAGGGTTAGGGGCGACGTCCACTTTTTAAAGGTCTTGACTCCACAGGTGATCCTCACTGCTGCCATCGCCTCTCTTTATATCTTCATTTGTGGCTTACTTTATAGATGTTTGCTTAATGACCTTATGTGTGCCTAGCAATAGTCCGATTACGGCCATCTGCAATACCAACATCACCAAGGAACACGTGTACAAACTTCCATGACGATATCTTATTTTATATTTAAGTCATCGTTAGCACAGACAGACGGAAGGATGGACAACGTCCGGTGAGTTGTACGTGGGCACCGTCAAAAGCATAAGCAGTTTTCTTAACCTGAACGCAACAGCACCGTGTTCGACAATCAGGTCAAGAAGGGGTGTACCTAATAAAATCTTCATAGCATCTAAAGATGCGACATAGAGGCAAACATGCAATCATCATGCAACGTTGCCCACTGCGGAATTTTCGCACTCTCCACTAGCGTGGAAAATATCCCTCCCACGCAATGATGGCCTCCAAGTATTCCGGAATGAACTTCCACATGTTTTTTCACACCTTTTCGTTCAAACCATCAAAACCTCAGAACCTAGATACCTCTACTTTAATTTTGACTAACATATCCATATATTCTCTCATCGCACGTTCAAAACTTTCGCCTCAATCGCCAGACAGTCCTTCTCTCCGATGTGAGCTCACGCGTACATCATTCAGTTTTCTTAGCCATAAAACTTTCACACTTTCTAAGTTACTTATCATTTACCCCCCAAACTACCTCATACAACCGAGAAATTTGCTCGTTCAACCCCCCCCATCCTCAAACATCCAAAGCGGTGTATCTAATTTCGCTTCCCCAACAGAGAGCCCCTTTTGGTTATAGTCGATACCAGAGGTACGCGAGGGAGGGGATTGAGGAAGAGCCATTATTAGAATCAAATTATGATTACTTTATCCCCACCCTCCTTTAACCTCCCACCAAACATCCAAACGTATGCCTTACTAAGCAACATCAAAAACAAGGCATTCGCATCCAAACCTATAATAAGTGAGCTACTAATCGCCGGTAGTAGTAGCTTATCCATATAGCCCAGGTAGGGCTCTAGGGGTTCGCTAAATTTGAAACACAAATCAGCTTCAATCATTCTATCGAACTCCCCCTCTACACAACAACTCTAGCAACACATACATCGAGCTGTAAAGAATCCACAATTTCGCAATCGTAATTGGGTTCACCCACAACTATTGCTGCATTAGCCTCAAGAGCCGTAAGTATCGTCATCAGACGCGCCTCGTACTTCAAGGCAAGCTCCATCAGCCCTTTCGCGTTTCCTACTACAGAGTTTTTGTCCCCAAAAACTGAACTAGCTTAGTTCCCTGCTAATTTTCTTTATGGCCGCGATATGGCTTACAGCGCCGCCTCCAAAAACGACCCCAACACACCCTCATTAGCTACTTTCCGTTGCTTGCGCTACCCTACTTCGCGCTCACCTTTTTCGTGTCTCTTGATATCACGGGCGCCCCTTCAATCATGCCCATCTGTGCGGGCTGACATCTGCTTATACAGCGCTGTCACCTTTACCGCTAGTACTCCCGCTCCTGCCCTCTTCTCCGCTCGCGTTACGCGGTGACCACAGATGCCCAGCACAACATAACTGGGACCGTGCAAAGAGTCCGCCAACAACTACAACATGAATGTCCACGTTGCGCTAATACCTAAAAGTACAAGGCACTCAAACTACACAATGTTGGAGCTTGGGTATTGGTAAGTTTAACACGTCAAACACAATGCACAAAATGTACACTAGCCCAAAGAAGCACTCGCGGTCTCGTACCCGAGCAACAACAAAGATATATGTAGGTCGGCTTTAAAATAACACCCCAGGATTTCGGGGATAAATAATATATAAAGATATAGCTGGGGGAACTTATAGCTTTAGAGATTTTTACGTTTAAGGTTGAAAATTTCAACTATTTAAAATACGTATTTTTTCAATTTAAAATGAATTTTTCACTCATATGTTTCAATTCACTAATTCGTTTTAACACATTTATTTTATATTACATAGTACAGAAATAGCTTTCATTCAATATTTAACTTACTGTTCAATTCTATTAATTCACACAATAACATAAGGGTTGCAAAATGACAATCCTAATTCGCTAACATCTAATCATCGTCTGTCCAGCTAATTCTCATGCCCCTGATATCTCTAATGTTCGAGAATATTAGACACACTGCGATCACAGAGAACTAATCTTCCACACGCCCACACATACACTCCGACCTTACAGATAGCTGCCTCTGATGTAACAATGCTTTAAGAGGCCCATACTCTGTAAGCAGGAAACCCAAACTCAGACAAGACGGTACCTTCATCACATCATCAGCTAGCAATGGGGTATCCGGACAGCAGGGGTTTTGCAACAGCCGTTAGACTTAGCAATATTCTCGTAACGGTCCTGAGTCAACGGATGTAGAGCTTCGCCGAAAAGACCCGTGAATAAAACGTTCGCTGCTATGCCCGTTAGTCTGCACAAGAATCGCAGTCTCCAAAACTGGGACAGACAACGGCACTTCCCAGATCCTTCTAGCACTAAGGCAACTGAATGCAAGATGCCAACAACACGGTACTTAACTGGAACCAAGCCAAGAATCCGCCAACAACAACAACGTTAATACCCACTTTGCGCAACTACTTAAAGGTACAGTGTACTAAAATATACAAGTATATACATCCTGCAGTTACCCTACCCACGCGCCAAACACGCCAAAAAATTCACAAAAATTTTGTAAGTTTGTAATTTACCATACTTTACATGAATTTAAAAAAGTGCTTATTATGATTTGGTATTATTGAATTTCACAATTTTGATCATTTAAGCTGAATTACAGTGTATTGATTTTTTATTAGTAAAATCATTAATACCATCAGCATTTTATTACATTGTATTGAAATCCTTATAAACATGTTTTTATTGTGTTGTTTTATTTATTGTAGTAATGAATTCATCTATAATAGCAAACAATCGCTGGAGAATGTGGAAATCAAACTGATTTCATTGAACAGTATTTCTTCAAACAAAAGTTTGTAATTTACCGTACTTT